GACCTCTTTCACCGGAAATTGCTTTTAGTCCTAGTGGTGATACGGCGCCGGATATTTATAGAAAGCAAGCTTTAAGAATTGAGGATTTGGAGAAGGAGAATAAGAAATTGAGTAAAGAGGCGGTAGATGCAGAGAAGAGGTGGAAGAAGGCGGAGGAAGAATTGGAGGATTTGAGAGAGGCAGAGGGGGAATCTGCCAAGGGAGAAAAGGGTACTGAAAATGGGAATTCAGAGGAAATTGAGAAATTGGTAAGTTCTGGGCCATAGCGCACGATTCAATTTGGGCTAATTGAACATTGTAGAAATCTGAAATCGCAGCGCTCCAACGACAAAACACACAACTTCAGGTTTCTTCCACCCGCAAACATGTATCTTCGCCTTCGACATCAGTGCCAGCACCATCGGAATTGGAAGCCGAGCTTCGTTCCAAATCTTCGACCATCGAGTCTATGGAAATTGAGATTTCTAATCTTAGAGCACAGCTTGAACGTGTCGCATCTGGATCGTCTGTGGAAAAAGAACAAATCACTGCTCTGGAGGAAAAATTGGCAAGGAGTGAGAAGTCGGCAGCAAATGCGCAACGGGAATTGGGAGATCTGAAGAAGAACCTCGAACGAACAACTGAGAAGGCTGTTAAGGAAGGTAGCGAACGTATATCTGCAGAAACCAAATTACGCACGTTAGAAAGAGAAACGGAGGAGGCCAAGGCACATAGCGATGAGCTTCAGAAGAAGGTGGATGCACTTGAAAAGAAAGTATCTACACTTACGACGCTTCACAAAGAACACGATGCCCGATCACAAGCTCAGAAGAAAGAACATGAAAGAGTGGAAAAAGAAGCATCAGACCTCCGAGCTCGATTCGCTACTGTCGAGAATGAAAATTCACGTCTCAAGGAAGAAAGGGAAAGATTGAAGAAACGGGATGCGCAAGGAATCGATGATGAAGGGGTTGATGAATTGGAAAATGAAGAGAGACAACGCTTGGAAAAGAAAGTCAGAGATTTAGAGGCGGAAGTTCATGAATTGAGAAGAGGCGTATGGAGGGATCGAAGAATCGAATTACAGGGTGAAGGAGACGATGGACTTACGAGTCCTGGCGCAAGATTCACAGATGTGGATTTAGGCGGAAGTGGAAGTCCTCATGCGAGAAAGAGCGGAGGTCCACAAGGAATGGGGATCGGGGATTATTTGACAAGTGGGTTTAATGCTATTACGGGAGGTACGGCACCGGTAGGACATGGACACGCAGGAGCAGATGAGGATGATGAATTGTTGGATGATGACGAATTCCTTGAATTCGACGAGGAAGCTTTCAGGAAGGCACAGCAGGAGGAGGCGATGAAGAGGATTGAGAGGGTGAAGGAGGTTAAGCGGGCGTTGAAGAATTGGGAGGGCTGGAGATTGGATCTAGTGGAGAATAGGAGTGCGGGTGGTGAGGGCGTGGGAGAGATTTTTGAGATTTAAAAAAAGAGGATTGTTTTACTTTATTTATCAACTGAGTGTTTGAGGCGAATGAATGAATGAATAAGCCTTGGAATGGAGTGATGAAAAACTAGGTATGGCAAATGGAGAATTTCAGATAGGAGGTTGTATGAGTGATCGCGACTGTATCAGTAGAAGTCGGTATGGTGGTATGGTATGCGAGATGAATGGATATGCCTCAGTTGAACCGTGTGTTTAAGTGATGAAGGCGAAATGAGGAACATGCGGCTTTCTTTTTCTTGAATCTTATATCGTATGGTATTGTCCATCTCATCCAAATGTTAACATTAAACATTGATGGAAAAGCTCGATGTGATCAAATTGGTTCTTTCAGAATATGTACTTGGAGTCTTGGATACACACGGTACATAGGTATTGTGATATGAGTACGTTCAATCCAAACCAATCCATATAATCAATAGAGAAAATCCAAACTCGTATCACTGCATACCTAGGTGCATATCTTTGAGATCGGTATTGGTGCGAGGCAAGCAAGAAAGAAAGAAAGAAAGAGAGAGTCTTTCCTATGGGGTTTATATAAACATATATACATATCTACCTAGGTAGGTAGGTAGGTAGGTAGGTAGGTAGTGATGTAAGATATGAGATGACATACCTAGCTCTCCATTCGAACACTCGGTTGATGGTTTAAGTAACAAGGAGGGCTTTGTTTGAAAAGTAAGTGAGGATGTCGAGATGTATGTACTTGTTGATCATATATTGATTCTATAATTTTGATGTATCATCTCATCTCATCTTTTGTGTTTAGATGATGTTGTAATTTTTGATTTCCATATTTGATACTACTACTACCTAGGTAAGCTGCTTCCATCACAATCCCATCTCGATTCCACTTTAGCTAGGAAACTCCTGAGTAATCTAGTCATCTCGCCTCCCTTCTATCCCCCATCCAATCTCGATATCCAATATCAAATATCCAGCATCCCAGGTGTAATTCCTGAAATTAGCTACTCTTTCATGTCATATCATATCATATCATAATATTTCCGAAGCAAAACAAAACAAAAAATGAAACGCGCCGACCATCCATAAAAAGGGGTATATCCTGAAGAAGAAGAAACAGTATTCTGTTCCCATCCTTCGCAACCTCCCATGCCTCCCATCCCATCCATCCCATCCCAATTTCCCGCCCTCCAACCTTCCTAACCTTCCCCCTTCCCATCATCAAGCCCCATTTCTACCGCATTTTCTCTCCAACATTCGTAGATTTCGTTAAATGCTGCTTCAAGTTCATGATGATGCATGCGTTGATTCTATTCATAAAAAAGGGAATTTGTATTTTCTGGTCTCTGTTTTCTTTTTTCTGTTTCTGTTTCTGTTTGCGTCTGTTTGTCGTTTCATTCCATTTCGTGTCATTTGCGTGTAGTCGTAGTACTGCATGTACCGTATGTTTCGTAAAATTCGTCATAAAAGCATTGTCCAAAGTCGTGCCCCGATTCATACTGTCCCTCACAAGGGCATTGATGTAGCGATTTAGATTCGTAATGTTTCATGTATGTGCAACGATACTCGAAGCCTCTGGCTCCCTCCGTCTTCCCAATCAATAATCAATCTGAAGTGAAACATCCAGTGATTCTCTTTTGAGATGACTGAATCAGTCATTTTTGAGAACCCGAGTCAATCTCCTTAAGGAAAATGAGCAAACTTCTCACTCCTCGGACTTCCGATCGAAGAACTTTGTTCCACTGATGCCCTCCTCTTATGCATCAATGGACTACTCTGTAACTCACTCACAACTCCCAACCATCCACTCCTCTGTGGACTTCCGGTCCCCTCATTATGTCCTATAGCATTACTTGTGATTCTCCTTAGCGGCGGTGTACGTTTGAGGTTCTCGCTCAGATTACTCGGAAGCGTCCTACTCCGAATAGGGGAGCCGAAGATCTTATCCGCATCTTCCTTTTCTCTTTCCTTCTCTTTTTCTTTCTCCTTCAACACCACTTCCGTTTTCGCAGCCACCATTCCCAGATACACGACGAGGAAACGCATGCGCAATAAATCCAATTTGCGCACTCGCTCTTCGAGATCCCGACGGGTCGTTCCCCATAATATCCGAGACCCGAGTTTTAACCTCTTGTGATCTTCCTTACTAACCATCTTATTCAAAAGCTCTCTTAAATCATCGCCGCATCTTTGAATCTCGCGTACCATGCCCGCTAATCGAAGTTTATCTTCGAGTTTGGAGATTCTGCTAATATCATGATCGTAAGAGGCGTTTTCTTGAACACTGGATTCGAGCACAGAGAGATAGGTGGTTAAGTCTTGAGGTGCGGTATTGTAGGCTGAGAGGTGGGTGAGGAGGGTTTGGACAAGAAGAGGAAGAGAAACAGCGGTCGCGGCGCAGGTGAGGAGAAGGGAAGTGGGCAGACTAGATTGGAGGGGGGACATTGGTGGGAGGGATTGGATTAATGGGTTGAGGGACATTTTGCTGGGGTGGTTGCTGATGATGTTGGTGATAAGGTGGTAGAGTGAGTTGTGCACATATTCAAATTTTGAGATAAGTATCGTCGCATTCGATCTAGACTGATAGAGAGTTTGAGATGAAGAAGAAGGGTGGTGAGGTAACAGAGATGAGATGAATAGATGTGAGATGGGTGAATCACGAAGTAACCTCCCTTAGCCGGATATCTAGGATAATCAAGAGAGGCAAAAAGTACAGAGGAATACTTGGTCCTGCGTACCTTGCCTAGGTAGTGTTTTCCCCTCCGTACCACTTTACTCACTTCCGTACATGTATGGAAACCAATAGATCAAAACGATCCAAAAACCAATGGATGGTGGGAAAATGAACCCTTGTACTTGCAGAATCATCACATGCGGCTTTTGAATTTTTGCAAGTTAACGGAGAGAACCTAGGTAAGGATCCTTGTGTGGTGGTGTGAGCCGATGTATGTGAGCGAGTTCTAGTTCTGTTGGGAACTGGGAGGAACTAGGTAAAGTGTAAGGTCTAAGGTCAAAGATGTGTGTAATAGATCGGTGTATCGGACAATTAGGACTCTGTATGATATTTTGTGATCCTGTTCCGATGGATTGAGCTGGTTGATTGATGAATTGCCTGTTAGTACTTCATGTTCGACTGCAAATGGGTATCTGGATACCTAGGTAGGTGTGTAAAATCATTCCAAAACGATGGCGCAAAGAGAATCTGATCAAGATCCAGATGATTGACGACTGACGACTGATATGCGATAAGAAAAAGGAAAAAATGACAATGCAACACAATCAAGAAGTGGAGAGTTTTTACAACATTTCGTCCCATTGTTGGCCAATTGAACCATCAATTCACCACGCGTGGGGTAGGTACATACAGTAAATTCATGTAAAGCACCATGACCTGCAGTAGAGAAAAATCCACATCTCTGAGTCAAATCCACTAATACACAACGACAATTCTTCTGCGATTTTGATAGGAAAGTTTCAAGATCGGCACAGATTACTTCACTTCAGTCCAGTCCATTTCAATATTATAAAAAGATAAACGATACCGTCGCCAACCATGGAAACCTCCAAACCAGAAATCTCCCCGCCTCCGTCTCTCCCCCACCTCTTCACATACCCCTCTTCCACCCCACCCTCGCTCATCACCCAAGGTGCCGAAGCTCTCCTCTACAAATCCACATACTTACTGCCGTCTCTACCCTGCGCACTAAAATGGCGTCCGTCTAAACCATATCGACATCCGATTCTTGATCAGCGGTTGACAAAAGCGAGGATATTGGCAGAAGCGAGGGTGTTGGTCAAGTGTAGGAGGGAGGGCGTTGTTGTGCCGGCTGTCTATGCGGTGGATGAGGGAAGGGGGTGTATAATGGTCGAGTGGATTGAGGGGGAGGTGGTGAGGATTAGATTAAACGAGTGGTTGGAACGGAGGAAGCAGAAGGAAGGGAATAAGGAGGTTACTGGGGAGGAAGAGGGGACTGAAGATGCGGTGGACCTTATGAGGAGGATTGGACGGGCGGTGGGAAGGATGCATGGGGTCGGGGTTGTGCATGGAGATCTGACGACGAGTAATTTGATGTTGCGACCAATACAAGTTGAAGGAGAGGAGATAAACAATGGGAAGGAGTTAGAAGGGGAGATTGTTATAATTGATTTTGGATTGGCGAGCCAGACTACAGCAGATGAGGATCGAGCGGTCGACTTATATGTGTTAGAGAGAGCATTTGGAAGTACACATCCAAGGGCGGAGGGGTTGTTCAGAGAGGTCTTGAATGCGTATGGAACAAGTTATAAAGGAGCACAGGTGGTTTTGAAGAAGTTAGAAGATGTGAGAATGAGAGGGAGAAAAAGAAGTATGTTAGGTTGAAAATTTACAATCTACTTTTGATTCCATAATATATCCAATATTTTTATTAGGATTTCTAGATATCTATCCATGTACTTCTCTTCGTCATCCACCAGCTATCCAAACACTACAATTTGCCAACCCAGTAATCTTGTCATTTCAAGTCGTTCCCGTTATTTCCAACACGCTATTGGAGCAGAAAACCGCAATTCGCCATTGCGCCGAAATTCAAACCCCTAATTGCACTTTTGATGTTCACTCTCTCAGTTCTGCCGAAGCGAAATATCCCTTATTTTCTATCACGCCACGATCCCGGACAATGGCGGTATATTTGACCACCCATTCCGGCTTCAAGTCACCTTTCATACCATCAATTCCCCTCTTAGATTCTGATAGCACACCAACGCCTCTAACTCCTTGTCCCAAAAGCTCCCGCAATGTGCCACTAGGCAGTATATCGGTGCAATCATTGTGAGTATAAAGTTCGATGTTCTCTTGTTTGGCGATCTTGAGCAAAGGCTGTGGAACTCTGCAACAATCTTTCACATTTATCTGATCGACTTGTGGTCGTACTCTGACGTTCCCTAGAAACTTAGCAAGTTTCGCTGTGCCAAATTCGGCCAATCCTAATTTCTTTACAATTCCTTGCTCATATAGTTCTTCCAATATAGGCCAGGTCCCAAGTTCTTCGGCTTCGTTTCCTTGTTCCGAGTTCTTCTTGTCTGCTTCCCATTCGCAGTCGCCGTCAAAGGACATTCCAGGAAATGAAACGATTAGGAGATCAATTGACTCGACACCCAATTCTTTCATTACCAAACTTAGAGCATCTTTTGTGTATTTTGACCTTGACTTCACATCCGTATTGGCCATATAAAATAGTTTAACAGTGATTTCATAATTCTTGGGCTCTTCTGCGAGCCCAGATAGAGACCAGTCTATGGTGGGTATATAAAAGTCATTGTCTTGTCTAGTTGTCCAAATGGAAACTGGCGGTCGACTCGGTGATCTATTCTCTTCATCGGATTCATCATGTCCATTGACTCCATTTGCATACGAAGGGGTGGGTGAATAGTCTTGCTGCGCAGCTAGAAAGTTGCTCCGGAGGGAGTTTGTAAGTTCAAGATTTGACCGGTCCGCGCCGGGTTTTCTAATGATGGAAGGACCTCCGACCATAATATTTCTAAATACTCAGTCAGTCAATTGCTTTTTGAGAGATGGGACGAGAAAAACGTACGACGTGGAAAGAATTAATCTAGTCATGATTATATCGAATTTGACGGGAAAGTGGGATGCGAATTCCTTTGGATTGATTGAAATGGGCAGAGGTATGATACAATTCTAATCGTACGGAATATAATATATTATAATATAGGGAAAAGAAATCTAAAGTTCTAGGGAAAAGAGTGAATAGGACCGAAGAGAAATGTACAAGATAATAAAGGATAAAAAGGAAAATTGTATTATTCTATCATTACTGTCACAAGTGTTTGTCGGTACTCGCTCACTAATCCTTCACTTATCTGCCCCTCCATCATTCTTTGTAAGCTTTTGCAAGCGCGGAGATTCCCCGAACTTTACTTGCACCCCTGCAAACAATTAACAAGGCTCCTCCTTTTGCCCAGACACGACACCCTCAAGGCTGAGATACCAATCTTCTCGAAAAACAATCATAATCATGGCCATCCAGTAAGTAAATATTTGAAAAGATGACATGAAGATATTTGGATTACGCTAACATCACGCAGCTATCTCATCTTGTTATCGCGGCAGGGTAAAGTTGTATGTACTTCTCCTTTCTCTGGATGAGAAGTAGCTCGAAACACACTCTAACTCTCCACAGAGACTCGCAAAGTGGTTTACAACATTATCGCCAAAAGAGAAGGCGAAGATCATTAAAGATGTCTCTCAACTTGTGCTGGCACGTAGAACGAGAATGTGCAATTTCTTAGAGTACAAAGGTCAGATTGGTTCTACAAACCCACATCTAGAGCTCCATGCTGATTACATCAATGGCAGATTCGAAGATAGTTTATCGACGATACGCTTCTCTCTTTTTCATCGCAGGTTGTGCCTCGACAGATAACGAACTTATTACTCTGGAAATTGTTCACCGCTATGTTGAGCAGATGGACAAGTACTACGGAAACGTCTGCGAGCTGGTAAATTTTACGTCTCAAGATGGAACGTGGCATATATACTAATATGGAGTCAGGATATCATTTTTAACTTCCAAAAAGCATATTTCATATTGGATGAGTTACTACTAGCAGGCGAAATGCAGGAGAGTAGTAAGAAGAACGTGCTTAGGGTGATATCAGCGCAAGACTCAATTGAAGATACGGAGGTGAGTGGTGAACATCAATTTGGGTCGTAGTGGTTATTCTGGACATTCTTTCACTTTACAACCTTTTGGGGAATAACATCATCCAAACTCGAATTTCTTTCATGCTGATTGAAATTTCGCAATTCCAGGTCGACGAAGAGATTACCAAGCTTATGTGAATCGGTGCTTTTACACATGTATTACAGAAATATATGGGTGGATGGAGTCTGGCGCGAAAATATCATATACCACTTTCAAGCAATTTCACGCGTTGTGCACAATTTCTAGTGATGGGTTTGTTTGCTAACTAGGTGATGGTTCCTCTCTCTAGGCCCAAGAAGAGGTGATGAGCGGACTTAGGGAGATTGGTCTTGCTTAATACCCCTTTTACAACTGCCGACCTGGAGTTGGGAATTCATGTGAATGGTACTGGCGTTCTTCTTAGGGCGTTTAATGGATGGTAAGATACCCAGGAGGAATCATAAGTTAAGTATGAACTACGAAATGGCGTTTGTGTAAGTTGAGTGTGGAATTGAATGCGCTGAGTTATTGGATTATCTCTAAGTTTTGACCCCTCGGAATGTTAATTGTAGTGCCTCTTGCTTGGCATTATTCCGTTTTTCCTCTCGACTTGTCTCGAGCTTGTCTACTACACTTGAGCTGCACTGCTACTTGGCTCGTAAGCCAGGTCGTCATCCATGCTCACCATGATACTACCAATGTAGCCATTCATGTCTCACAGATTGACCATGCTGTTTGTTACTAGCATGTAGAGAGTCGAGATTCCTGAAGAATGCTCAAGATGTGACCGAGTTGGCTGAGAGGCAATTCTTGATTACGTGATATTATATGTCATCATGTAAAACCCCTTTACGAAGTGAAAGCTGCAAACGTGCTTGATTCTTCAATGCAGATTTGAGACCATGACCCTCAGATTGACGGTCACCTGAACGTGATTCACGATACTTTTAAACCTTTGAATCTGTAACAACGTTCCGGAATCGATATCGATCTGTTCTTCACGCACGAGAATCATTTATTGGTTGTTAAGTGATAAAGGGACAGAGGTAAGATATTGATCTCCCCAGAATCCCAGACCAGATCAAACTTCATGATCCACTTTGTGCGACATCGTTTATCCATCAAGCTAATACGTATTAAGACTAGCTTATCAATCGTTTCGGTCACAATCAAGGTTATCAACTTGAGTCTCCACACTCATCATCCGGCTCACCCCATCCCCCCGAATCTTCTTCGGTATCAACAACCACACACCGTCTATCCCATTACTACGCATCTCAACAATACTTACATTATCAAATTTAAAATGACCATTACCTGCTAGACATAAAGTCTAGCTGAAGAACATCTTGATATCACCTCCGCAGCCAGCGCAGGAAGTATCAATCTTGCTTTCTTAGTTCACGCAGGTCCTACAAACACACCGATAACGGAACAAAGAGCGACACGTTTGGTCCATACTTCACCCCTAAACACTACTCTAAACAACACCATTAACAACACATCCATACTACACAACACACCGTCGCCAAAAATAATTATATGAGGTTTTAAGTACCTGGTTTTCAGTTCAACGAGTCTGAAGAATCATCCGAAAGGTTGTCTATCTCCACAGAATACTCGGGCTCCGTAGCCACATACTTCTCACTTTCTTCAAAGCGCGCGAGTCGTCATTCCGCCTTTGGTTCAATTATCCTTCACCACTATCCACGATAAGAACTTATCTAAATCTACTTTCATTCTCATCTCAGCAAAGATGAAGTTCCTCCCTTTACGCGACTTCGACAATATCACCAGTGCGTTGAATTTCAACACACCCGATTGCCACGTCATTGGTGGTTGTGATCTCTACACAACCAAAGCTGCTGGCTCCGACAAGAAACTATATAAAAATATTGAGAACTCACTAGAATCTCAATATGAATCTCTACTCAAACTATCGGCCTCTGTATCGCCTCCTCTTGATCCCACGGAAGCTGGCGTAAATCTCTCACGTTCAAGTCCTTTTGGGCCCTTGAGCCAGGTATCGAGTCGTCGAACCTTCGCATATCTCATTGCAACACTTAACGCAAGTCATCCTGACTACGACTTCTCGCACAATCTCAGACCTGCCGATTTCCACAAAGAACGAAGTTTGAAGACTGTTATCAATACCATTGATTCGACACTTTATAATCTTAGACCAAGTTCGGGTATGACGCTTCATGTCCCATCGCAGACATCTTATAAGACAACCTCATCTGCTGGTGCTACAAGTCAAGCCTGGTGTCCACAGATGTGGGCTTTGATTGATAAGGAGATGACCCTCAAGGACTGTACAGTCTATTCTTGGGCCCCTCCTGATGAACCGTTTGACGGTGAATTGGGATCTATTTGGAGTCTCAACTACTTCTTCTTCAACAAAGAGAAAAAGAGAGTCGCGTATTTCTACGTTCGAGCTGTCCCAGTCATGAGCCACAGTCCAAGTCAAGGTCAGGGCATTACAGGCCGAGAAGCCGAGTACAACGACGCCGGTGCAAACAAACGGGCTAGGTATTGGCTAGGTGATCGTGCCGATAATCTTATGATTGATCAAAATGGCGACGATGATACTGATGTCAACATGTGGGATGAGGACGACCAAGTAGACCCTGAAGAGGAATACTACGACGGCTATGATGATGAAGCTGATGATGAATTCGATGATCAGAATTACAAAGCACCTATACGTGGTGTTAGTGAAGATATGGCTGCTTCGATGGATATTGATTGTTGAACAACTTTTTCTTTCACACCTTTTTGCATTTTTTGTTTAGCAAGCAGATTGGCTGGCGTATTGGACAAGTCGATGGCAACGGCTTTTGATTTCTTTTTCTTTCATTTCACTCTTTCTCGTTTTTTTTGGTGATCAAAATACCACATCTGTATGTTTTGCTTTCTTCTGCTTCTTGTCTGTACTTGTGGGTTTTTTGGTCGGCTATCTGTAGGAACATGGGATGGATGACATGATGAACTATTCGGCATGGCGTTCGGCTACGGTTCGGTTCGGTGAGAGCGTACTGGGTTGGCTGGCGTTGTACCTATAGTTTTACTCCCTCTTGCTAGGTAGCTTTTGGGAAGGATATCGGTGGTGCGGCGGATGCATTATACTTGGATGGGTGATTATGCAGGCGTATGCGTATACGTATGCATAGTATGGTTAATACTTTCAACAACATGATACCGTGACAATCCAATAATATGAAAACAATTCTTCGTGGATATCCCAGGTTGCTGTGGCCTTGGTCGTATATTCTCCGACTATCAAAGTTGTCTCCTGTATATGCGAGAGATGAGCGTATTCAATATTCACATTGAAGATCTCTCTCGCTGCACTTGATAATGTTGGACAGTGGGGCAGTAACTCAAGTCTGGAGAGAACGACTTGGTCATGATGCTATCCAGTCCGCTTCGGTAAGGTCAAGTGAAGTGAAGTGAAATGAAGAGGAATAATTCACAAACCATTCATTACAGATATGAATCAAAAGAAGCATTCAATTCAGAATGTCAAGAATAGCATACATTCTAATAGTATTGTACCATATATCCTCTCGTGTTTTCATCTTGGCTGAATATAAAATGAAAACTTCTCTAAAACTTCTTTTTCTTCTTTTTCTCTCTCTTAAAAAAGTGTAGACAGATAAAACATCCCCTATCCCCTCTAATATCGGCTAGATCTACATCCACCAAAACACAAAAGCAAAAAACAAAAAAACAGGAATTCCCACGAGACGACAACACACGATAGCGCAGAACATTGTCGCGGTATGTACATCTGTAAATCCAGCCCGATACGCCTATCCCAATGGTGGCGCAGCGGCACTTCCATTGTTCGAAATTCGAGATGATGAGCGTAACATACGCTGTGAAATGGGGTATCATTCGCTGAAACAAGAGACAAAAGATGGAAAAACAAAAAGACAAAAATCTGACGAGGTGATTTAATGATAGAAAAGATTAGGAAATCAAATCAGAAATCGGAGATGTAGGTAGAGTAGGTGCTTCTTGTGGGGAGGAAGGTGAAAGATGGAAGGTGGTTGAAGGGGTGGTGTAAGAGTGTGGAAAGTAGAGGTGAAGTTGATCGAGGTAGAGTGTGAGTGGTAGAGATGGAAGGTTGAGCTACCGATGCGGGGGTAAAATAGTCTAGCATAACTTGTACTGTTGAAGATCTCTTCTCCCTATCGTAGAATAGGGATGTTGGATGCTAGTAGAGCAGAGCGGGCGAAACTATTTTCTCCCCCACATCTTCGCAAATCCACGCTGTTGCTGCTCGCGCTTGGCAGCACCATCTTGGAATTCGTCGCTGGCGGAGCTTCCACTGCTTTGAATCTTGGTACTGCGTGGGTTGCCGAATATCTTGAGAAGGACGGTCATAATGACGCTGCTCAGGATACTCAAACAGAGAATACCAATCATAACGAGATTACTCTTGCGGTAGCGATGAGGTCCTGCTTTGGCATCTTCGGGCCATCCGGTATAGAGTGCGTAGGTAGTAGTGATACTTCCGAGATTGCCGAGACCGGATACAAGAGCTGATGCGGCGGCAACGCCTACTTCTCCGTGGCGATGTTGGAAGATCTCATTGGTCCATGTCATGCAGATGGGGACTGTGGGACCAAGTCCATATCCGACCATAAGGAGACCACCGTAGCGTGCCCAGGGGTGAGAGACAGGGGCAAAGGTGGTGGTAAGTAGACCGGCAATCTGAATTAGTACTGCGGCGGAGAAGAAGAAAGCTCGGTACTTATGGAAACGGTCGGAGATTGGAGTGACCATAAGAATTGCAATGAGATCCATCTATTATTTGTCAGCCTCTAGTCCTATATCATAGCTTTGGTGCGTTTTACTTACGATCCAAATGGGTGCGGTGAGCAAGCTAAGAGTTATACCCGAGAAGGAGGAGTCGATTCCTTGTATAATGACGGTAGCGTAGAGTTGTGTCCCAATACCCACGCCAACAACGCCGAAGTACATCAGAGTGAGAGGCCAAAGACGCCAGTCAATCAAAACATAAGCAAGATCTTTCCATCCCCATGACCTTGGATGATAAACTCTTCTCAGATCCTGATAATGAATCTCGGCATCTTCCCCAGTCAATACCGGTGGAGTAGAAGGAAGCCATCTTGCGAGACCTGTGGGGACTCGTTCTTCTCCAGGGGGGAGTGGACGATCTGGCAACCACCAGAGAAGTGAGATACCAAGCACAATACCACAAAGTCCATACAACAAGAACATCCATTGAAAACCAACGAGACCACTAGTCCCATCCATTTTCTGGAAACCAGCGGAAACCAGTCCTACAACAGCAGCGGAAAGCTGAGATGCAGTGAAGTACATGCCAATACGCTTGCCAGTTCTTGAGGGTGGGTAGAAAAGCGTAAGATAGTAAGCCATTCCCGGCCACATTCCCGCAGTAACTACACCAAGAAGGAAACGAAGGAGCCTAAAGAGTATCAGCAACGAAATCAAACTTGATAGAAGGAATCAACCCACATCAAACTCCAAGCCGCCTTCACAGCCGCAAAACAAGCTCCAATAATACCAACCGCGAGAACGATACGACTCATCCAAACTCTTGGACTCAGTTTTGTCATGATCAAGTTCGAAGGTAAGTCGAAGACAACATAGGCAACATAGAATAAAGCTAGAGCCGTGGAAGTTTGCTTGGCTGTCAAGTTCAGAACTTGGGCAAGATCATGACCAGCCGATGCATTCATAGTTTGAGCAAGACCAACATTGGATCTGATGGCGGAACAGAGGAAATACAAAACCCAGAATGCTATATATGCATTAGTTGCTGTTTGCAAAAAGAGTGTTGTCTGAATTACCTGGAATAATGCGGCGATCGATTTTCCTATAATATGATGTCAGGATATATGACCTACAAACTTCCCATAATTCTGGAAATTATAGTTTATCCTTACCTATAAACCTTTTCAATCCTCTCGATATTAACCTCCTCATCATCATAAGCCCTCCCGGATTCATCGGCATAGACTTCATTTGCATTCAGACTTTTCCCATCAAGCTGTCCCTCATGTGTAGCTATGGTGGGGTCGTGATCACCAAAACTTCGGTCCCCAGCTTGTGCCATAATTCCTGTGAAGCAATGGAAACGCGTGCTAACAGATATTATGGTCTTTCAAAGATACTTTTGCAACTGAGATCTAAGAGTTCCTCAATTGCTGCTTTACCTGGAAGTTCGAATGAACAGAAGAGTAAGAGAGACGAGGGATGGTCAGAGGGATGGAAAGAATATTCTGATTTTTGATGTGTGGTGGGAGCTCCCGTAGTGGGGTTCAACATTTCCCATCGGGGGCTCTGGGCCCGGTACTAATGCTAATTTTGATTAGCTCATGAGAAATCATTGCTGTAGACCCAATTTTCTATAGAACAGCTGTCTTGGTATCTCAATATCGTAGGTGAAGATGTCGTTGATGAGACGTGAAGCTTCTTGGAGTTTGTATCAGAGCGAGTCTTTTTTCAAAAAAGCGTCAACTCATGGATATCTAGTATTTTTGTTTGCATCATGTACAAAGTCCTCATTAAAATTACTTATCTGACCAATACCACATACTCGGGTCTATCTACACATCCACTTCTATTGAAGTTAAAGGGTTTGAAGCTTCAATGTGGAATTTTATTCCACAGCCCCGTTCTGGACAATCGCTAACCTCCCTGCCAATTCCCAAAAATTACATTTGTAAATCCCTAAAAAAAATGTCTTTGTTGCTCTCAACATTACTAACATGAGTATCGATACACTTTCATTAAGCCCAAACCAGTTTCTTCACCTGATGTCCCAACACATCGAATAGTCCCGTGCTTTTCTTGGCCTCGGCCAAACTAATGATGGTACCCTCCTCTACAATGTCCTTTCTCTCCTCTCCGGCCTCTCTTATACTTCCAATCTCAACCATTCTTCTAATCTCTCCACAGACACTCTTCACTTGCTCGGCCTCACTAACTCCTTCATCTGATACCGCAGATCTGGAGGGCAGAGCCTTGAATGCGAGAACCTTCACAGCATCTTTAGGTTCCGCTATACTTTGATTTTGTAGACCTGATATTAGGTTTGCAAACCCAGCGGCAATTGGGGCAACGACAGAGTTGGTAGTAGATGTGGATGTGGACGTGGATGTCTTGTCTTCAAGAGAAAGTTTCGAAGAAGGAAATTCCGTAGCCATAGATCTCGTGTTGACACGAATAATATCGTTTGAGCCGGCTTTATAAGTGATTACAAAGCCCACATTCCTCTTCTCATCTGCCTGGGCTTGTGACAAAGTACTCGTGATGTATGTTCCTAACTTGATACCAGTCACCTGGTTTAAGTCCACTCTCACGAAAGATGATACTTTCTCGATATTCCAATCAAAGTGGCACATATACAATGCCGCATCTGTCAATAGGAGGACGGATTCCTCAAAAGGACTGGATTTGATGGTATTTGGTACTTGCGGAGTGAGAAATGTCCATCCTCCAATAAATTCTTCACGATCGTCAGCAACGACGAGTTTCTGAGAAACGTCGATGGCTTGTTGCCTCATTTTTTGCATCGAAACGCCAGGATCACCACTCATCATGTTCGCCTCGAAATCTTCGAACACAAGATAGCTTACATTTCCTAGCAAGAAATCAATGGCGGCTTGACTGAAGTAGTCATTCACAATACTAAAAATCAATTAGTATCTGAAGTTTTTAGTTCAAAAGATTGACGTACCCGCTATAAAATCTGGAGATAGAAAGCCCCATATCTGTGATAGCTCCCTTGTAATCCCGCTTTCTGGTACGAGTAAAGTCACCCTTCAATGCTGCTGTAGAGGCATATTGCTTAGAAATGGCGTCACCGTTGTCGGCCCACAAAGTATTAAACCATTGCTGTGTTTGATCGACTTGTAGAGTGATATCTAGTCCCTCATTCTTTAACTGTATTTCAAGGGCTCGCTTTGCTACTGCACTTTGAACAACATTTGTTCGATCCAGACAATCCATACAGTTAGTCCTTAAAACGCCATTCTGTTTCGATACAAGTTTCCCATCGACTTCTACAGTGTTTGAGAACGAGTCAAGCTTCTTGCCCAGTATTTCCATGAGCAGGCTGACATTCTCAAATTTCATGCCTTTGCAAATAGCATGGAAATCAAACCATTCAAATCCAATGGATTTTTTAAGCTCGCTAGCTCGGGAAACGTTAAGAAGAGTCATCAATTTCTCGTACTCTCCGCCAACTATTGCCTCGTTTCCATGTTTCTCCACCAAGGAAGCCACTTGAATAGCCCCGTAGCGATCACTTATATTATCAAAATGCTTCTTGAAAGCTTCATAATTTGTTTCGGTAGAGTGGTGAACTTGAGGCACAGGCTTAAAAGAGTAAGGTGACTGGGAGAAGAAGATGGGAATGCTGCCACGTATCTGGACGAACGAATATATCTTACTTGAAGGACCCCAAACAGAATCCGATAAGATTTGCTCTGTTTCCACGCCATTGGCGGTATTGCCGTCCTCATCCACACCCCGGCGTAAATATCTAAGCCCGGCACGTTTAACTGACCTTCTAGATATTAATGTCAATAGATATGACTTTTCTGTACCAGCACGTGCTGTGAAAATTTGTTCATCTGAACTACTTGTTGTAATATCCTTCATCTCCATGGAAGTCTTCCCGGTGTCTGAACCTACAACAAGGTTTGGTGGATTGCTATCCATCGAAAATGCACGCTGTCCTACAAAGCCCTGCATAAGAGGCAAGGCAAAAGAAGACTGGCCAGCATCAATAAATGGTAACACAAGATGTCGATTCCAGAAGAAGAGTGGATCAACTTCCTTATGCAATGGTAATTCAGAGTTTGTATTCCTCTTATTTGCCAAACTTCTTGTGATATCGTGGTCGTAAGAGAAATAATAACTCCTAGAGGCTCCAAACAATATCTGTGATGTTCGTAGTAATTTTGGCAGCATGCTCTCCGCAATGTCGCTAATATCTTCAGGAGTTTCGATCTCCTCAGTGACCTTGCCCTTATCGGGAATTGGGATATCAGGTTTCCCTCCAGTGGCTTCCGAAATTGTAGCTGATACACCTGTGGCCTTGGCATCTTGCTCTACTGTAGAATACGGCTCAACGCTCATTCCCAAGTTCTTTTTCTGGTCCACAGCCCATCCTTTCTTCGAGAACCATTTTTGTGCAAATCTTCCATATCCCCCCTTCTTCGAGATCACATCCTCAGCCACGCTGCTCGTTCTTTTGTGTGCTTCTACTGCTGTATCGTCCTCCACTTCATCGCTAACGACATCATCTTCGCTATCACTCTCGTCCAAGCCATGCTGCCCCTCAGTAGTACTCTTCAATAACCCCGCTTTTGTACTATCAATCGAGATCTCTGCCTCGTTCTTGGAGCTTAATGGGGTTAACGCCACTTCAGTAATAACATATATAGGTTTCCCTTGTACTTGTGCGACTTGCTCTCTTTTCGTAATCGATATCAGGAAGGAGGTTTTGGAAACCGTCAAGAGACCTAGACATGATTAGACATGTACACCACGCTCAATATCGCGAGCACATACCGACAATACCAAATGCCTCGAAGCTTTTAGCAGGCGACCCTCCACATCCTGCGAATCACTCAATACTTGCCCGATATGCTTATCTTTGTATGTGATCTTCGTTGCGGGGGCGGGGCGTTGGCCTTTTGGCGCTGTTGGTTGCAAAACCAACCCATCGATGGCGGCAAAGATAAGAAGTTTGCGAACGAGGCCAGGCATACTGGCAGTGTCTATATAATTATCATCGAGGTCATATGAGGAAGGATGTGGGTGGATCTTTAGAGAGTGGAATTAAAGTTTGGAGAATGAAGGATCAATTGGTAGTTTTAGCTCACAGGATCAACACTACCGGATTAGGGATGTCTCAATTTACCATGGCAAGCACTTGGTTGTTAATCATTCATCACTTCAACCATGAATTTTTGAGAATGTTAATAGAATAACAATAAATATGTACTTATCAAATAGTCCTGGTGGCTATTTGATTGCCAACCCTGAATCAGAAGTTTGGAAGATGGTTATTAGGGTTACGTGAAGGTAAAGGGCTCACCGGGGACAATCTCATGGTTTCCTGATGAAGAAGAAGAAGAAGAAGAAGAAGAAGAAGAAGAAGAAGTCAGTCGACACGGAAAATTGATTAGCCAAAAGAATCATTATTTCAATCTTCACCAAGCCCAAGAACTATTTGTTTATCAACGTGAATGGGAGCCTTATCTAGTGAATGTCTTTTCGAATATAATCAGTCATTTTTGAATCGCAAATAAATTCTGGGGTACCTATGCATATATGGCGCTAGTCTGAAATTTCTCAAGCGAAGAGAATCTCGCACCGCAGAAGATTTCTTCTCAACTGAGCAAACTGATCGATAACATATAACACTTCGTATTACGCAAAAGAAAAATAACTTTGAACATCACCTCTCATCATGGGTAAAAACGGAAAATTCGGCAAAGACTATGGAAAAGTGGTTGGTAAAGACCTTCCTGGACGACCCGGATGGAAAGGTCCAGGATTCACAAAAAAAGCCGAACAAAAACCAAGAAAAGCAAACCAAGAAGAGGAGAAAGATCTACCTAAAGAATCTCTTCTTCCTGTGAAGTTGCAACAGCTCTTGTTGAATGTTTTCAGAGACGCATATTCAGGTGTTATCGATTCTGATAATTTTCAACAGCTTTTGCAGGACGTCAAAGGAGCTTTATATGATAGAGATTTCAGTCGTGCATTCGGAAACGACGAATATCTCGATGTTTATTCTGCAAGATGGTCACCCAGCAGGTCATTATGTTATGCTTCAATTCTTTTGGACCTTCAAGATCATTTTGGAGAAATACTGCCACGTGATAAGAGCGCTCAAATGAAAGTTGACTCTGAGGCCACGACCGACGCTGCTCCATCCACGACTCCTTCTAAGTCAACGACACGAGTTATATCCATCGGTGGGGGCGCAGCCGAAGTTGTTGCATTCGGAGGCTTCTTAAAGCATGAATTTCAAACTTCAGGCATCGAAAAGACTTCACAAACCGCGGATGATGCAATGGCTTCCCTTACATTATCTGATGCAAATGATAGTATCGAACTACTACTTGTCGATACAGCATCCTGGGCAAATGTTGTCAAAAAACTTCACACTGGTATCACAACTCCGCCACCAATATCCAAGTATGCAAGCGCATCTGCTAAAGAAGCAAACTCAGCTCTTGTTAAGCCTGAAGATTTCACTACAAAATTTCTGGAACATGATGTATTAGCAATGAGTCAAGCTGAGCTTGGTAATCTGTCTGGCAAAAAGCCCGTTCTTGTTACGCTATTCTTTACCCTGAATGAGTTATACACGGCATCAATTAGCAAAACGACAGCTTTCTTACTCAACATAACATCAGTTCTTCCCAAAGGGTCCCTACTTCTAGTTGTGGATAGTCCAGGGTCATATTCAGAAACCACAGTCGGTACAGAAGAGAAGAAGTATCCAATGAAGTTTTTACTTGACCATTTTCTGATTGAGACACAAAAGTCAAGGGGAAAAGAGAGCGTTCCTGACTGGGTTAAAGTCCACTCCGAGGACTCTCAGTGGTTTAGACTACCTGAAACTCTCCGATATCCAATTCCTTTGGAGAATATGCGATACCAGGTACACCTTTACCGTCGTTCATAAGCAGGGTGGTTTCAATAGCAGCGATCACAATTGAGAAGATGAGTTTTGAAAGTCATAATCATAATTCGTTATCCATACATACGATCGTCAAGGTAATCACAATATGCCAATCCCATCCTATTGGCTAACACCGACTAAACATCAAAGGTACCAATGCGGTACTACTCTCATGACCAAAAAACCCTCTGGACTTCTTTGGTGAAGAACAAGAGGCCCCTAGTTGCAAAGGCTTAGGCCAGGCAGTCAATACCCGTTCTTTTTTATCTTGAGTCTTGCAGAACTCTTTGCCAAGCTGCTTTAGCACAGCTTCTCTTGCCTTCTTCAAAGCCATTATCCTCTTATCAGGATCATCAATCAATTCCTGTTGAGCATCCTCCTTTTCAAAGTTACGCTGAACGCCTTGTATGTTGGGATCAAAAGTCATTGGGTGCAATAACTCTACTGGATGCGAAGCTATCGGTATTGGAGCCGAAATCTTTAGTTTTACCTCTTTACCAGAATCATCTTCATTTTTCTTCTCATTCTCATTTTCCTTTTGCCTATGCTTGCGTCTCCGTCTGCGATGATGCGACCTCTTTCTCTTAAGCTTTGTGCCAGTTATCGACGACCCCTTCATACCAGGCAATGTTACCCCAGACAAAGTATCAATAACCTCTGGTGCCTCTTCAATATCATACAACTCACTACCACTCTGATATTGCAAACTATCAACATCAGATCCGCTCGGTTGAGACAACCATTCATCACTGCTTCGACAATTTCTCGACGTCAATGGTGCCAATGCTCGTTCCCAAGTGCCACCATTTATCAACCTGGTATTTTCAAAATCGAATTCTTTCACCGTGTGTCGATGTTCATAAACGAAATCCGCTACTTGCTGCTCCGACATCGTGGCATTCCTCACTTGCATATATCGCAATTTAGGAAATACAATTGGTGGTCTTGGAGGAGCAGCTGGTAATGGTGACATCGGGGACGTCACTTCTCCAAATAACTTGGTCGTCTCTTTTGGGGGCGCAAATAATGGATCACTAGATAGAGAATATGGACAAGGACCTTTCCCTCCATGCCACCCAAAACTCACTTTTTCCAAATTTGGCGCAAAGTTCCGAATGTAATCATCCAAAATTTTCAAATGATCGCGACCAGGCAGTAAACTCTGGAAATCCCATGAATCCATCGTGATGCTGAGTTTCCTGATTTGTCTCCATCGTCGTCCTGCAGATGGTGTACACCCAAATCCAGGCATATGACGCAGGTATTGCAGTCCAGATGGATGGGTGTGGATGGACAGTTTCTCCAACTTTAATACCGGTGCCCGCTCAATGGCAATGCGCAGGCTTATAAGTGCATAATCGACAACATCCCTTCTATACCTCTGCGAAGGATCTTGATCTGGACATGAGATTGTCAGGTGGCGCAGGTTGGGTAGATGAGATAGCGCTTTAATGAATGTGGGGATATTGGTCGCGGCATGGAAGAGAGGTGGATATTGTTGCGTTAATATTTCGCCTAGCTCAGGACATCCGTACTTAGGGCGTCGATTACTAGGCCGTTCGTTGTGAGAAGCCATGCTGGTATGTGGTGTATACAGAAAGTTGATCTCCTGACCAGTGATAGGGTTCAAGAGAGGAGGAAGAAATGTAGCATTGGAGTGAGGCATGTAGAATATCAGGTGTTGGATATATTTTCCGATCCGAGAGAGAGCTTCTAGACGAGAAGGTCGAGTGAGTGAGATGGAAGTGAAGGTTATACGGGTTCGGGTGAAGATCTCGCTGGTTGTTAGACCGCAGATTTCAGTAGATACAAGGCGGAGGGAACATTGGGAGGAGGTATCTAAGTGGGCGAGAATATTGGTGATGATATTTTGGGATCGCCAGAGGCGGTTGATTGTTGGGTTGGTGGTGGCCATAACTTGCGCATATCGCTTGGGAAAGGGAATGGAGGGAGTATGAAGTCGAGTCCTGCTTGATATTGATAGATGAATATCGTCGTTGATGAAATTTGGAAGCGGGATACAAATGAGGAGTAAAAGATTTGAAAAGATCAATTGAGATTGAGAGGTCGAAGTGAGCTGAATGTAGATTCCAAATGAATGAATAAACAAATCTCGATCCACTACTCGCCACTCAACGATATAATATAATCTCACTCAATCACCAAAAACCCTCGTCGTCATCAAAAGCAATCGATTGAGTGTGTAACCTCAAATCGCAATTCAACTGGAACAAACACAAAAGTTACGAAAGAAAAACAAAAAAACAACCTCAGTCCCTCCCCTTTCTTTATAATATATATCCCATCCTCCACAAACTCCCAGCATTTTCCTTCCCCTCCTCCCAATCTCGAAATGCCGCACGCCAAAAAAAAAAAACGATTCCTCGCATCGAATCTTCCCTTTCTCTTCCCTCTTCCCGTCTCTCAATCGAACTAACCTCTGACTCACACTTGCTCGTCCGACACACAGGGTATGCAAGCAAGCAAATCCATTCCGCACTATGATTTACCGAACGCCTCCCTCCCCGGGATTCGAAAAAGCCAACTCCACTCCCGAACGCTAAACGCGAAATGCTCGCGAAAAAAACCACGAGGAGAGAGCGCGATAGCCGCGTTGAGTGGATGCTGGTGTGCATATGCTCATGCGGTTGGAACCTTGGAATCCTATATCTACCGTTTTACAGGCATGCTTGTGTAGTCTAGTGTAATGTAGTGTAGTGTAGTGTGATTTATAAGTTATGAGTGGTAGAAGAGGAGGAGACAGGGATTGGAGTGAGTATCCGGATACCATGTTTATTTTGTGTGTGTATGGATGGATGTATGGATGTATGGATGTATGGCAATATGACTGGATAGTCCGCATACAAACACAGAATCGATTCGCCAGCATTAGATCTTGGCGGAGAATTGTTAACCATAAGTTTAGTGCAGGGGAAGGAAGGGAAAGAGGGGTAAGGATGTATGTATGTATGTAGTATTATTAGTGGTATGTAGTGTACTCGCATGCATATAGCGTATATGTATGTTTCAAGAACGATAATTGGAAGCGAGAGAACAGGATATAGATACGGTGCCGTTTTGAAAGTTGCAAGTGGAAAGTTGGGAGGTGAAACTTCTTTTTCGTCGTGGAGAAAGGTCGAGTGGATGGTTAGGTAGGTGTTACTCATACTCATTTTTATTCTGCTAGTCTATTCTGCTAGTCTAGTCCAGTCTAATCTCTAATCTCTAATCTACTTTCTCTAAAGCAACGAACGAGGAAACGAAACCTCAGAATGAATGGGTGGGCGGGTGGTAAGCTCGTAGGTAAAGTAAGGTTACTTACGGGTGGCGAGCGAACGATAATTAGACGAGTTGCGAGTTGCGAGTTGCAAATGCAAAGATGAAGGGGTTACTCATCTTCAATACCTTACCCAGGTGCTTTGTGCACCTTCCCTCTTCCTCTCCCTCCCTGTATCTATCTTCCCCAGTCCCAGAACAACCCAAACAAACAACGCGTGCGATAACCTTGCGATAAACGCGAAAGAAAGCAACGCGCTTGTTTGGAAATAATTGGTTATTATGTTATGCCATACTACCACCATGCCATGTTGTGCTATACTATACTATATCAATATAATATTTAGTTCTATCCCGATTCAACTCGACCGTTTGGATAAGATAGATGGTCGGGTGCTCATGATCAATTTCCTTTCCTTCAGGTCTACTCCCCCCGGACTCCGGAGTTCATAATAGGTAACAGATAGTATTACGATCTAATACCTCTGAATTCAATTTCGCGAATTGTCGATTCGACTTCAAGGGATTGATATATACCTAGATACCTACCTATCATATGCGCAAAATTACTCGCGTTTTATTCCTACGAGTCTCTTGTTTATATTCATATTCATTTCTATTTTCTTTGCGACACGCTTTCTTTCTCACTCGCTTATCGTGTACATATTCATCACACGTTTAGACATTCACGCGCTCTTTCATTCAAGAGTTCGCGAGGCGAAAAACACACGAGATGACATGCGATTATTTGCATCTACGTTAATTTCTCTTCGCGTCTTGCTAACGTGCCAATGTGATCGCCTGCCTCCTATTCCACTCATCCACTTTTCAACCATTCCACCACAATCAATCTCCCTCCTATCATTTCTGAAATTCCATTCAGATCAAAATATCTAACTCCTTCTGTACCCCATCCATTCATGCACCCCTTGAACCACTATGCCGATCCTTCACATCTTATCATCTTTCATTATTCTGCCATGCATGCCACTTTTGAACTTGCCAACTCCAGATGTTCAATCATTTTCACCATCCATTCACTCGTCCATCCACTCTTCCATCTATCGGACTTGTACCGTCTTCATCTGTTTCGAAAATACAAAGTTTCAGATAAGGAAAAGTAAGCCCAATCAAAAAACCCCGCCAGTGAACTTTGATTATATCGTCTCGTTTCCTGGTCTTTCAATTCGCCCAAACGCCATTATGCAATATCTTTTAATCAGTACTTTTTGTACCTACAACCAATAATTTCCCCTTGAAAATACAATTTTGAAGGACTTGGGTGAATAAAGAAAATTCGTGTCATTCCAATCGCGCGATAAGTATTAAAATGCTTTTTTCGTGTACAATAAGCTGGGTATCCTGAAGAAGAGAAAAAAAAGAAGAAAAAAAAATCGGAAATTAAACGCGCTCTATCTGCTGTGTTGTGTTGTAACGTGGTCATGTTGAGGTTAAAGGTGAGGGAGGTGAAGGAGTCCCATTCATTTTAATGAGGTCAGCATCAGAATTTGATGCTGGACTGGATGTTAAAGTGGATGTATTTTTGTGTTGTTTTTTCGACGCTCGCCCTTTTTCTGGTGTGCTTTTTCGAGTTACGGAGGAGTCTTCTATCTCTTCTGGGATAGTGGCGAATTTCTTGAGGACTTGCTTGAGAGCTGGCCGTCGAATAGGTTTACTGGGACAGATTAGTCTTCCGATTGTAATGAGAATAAGTAAACGGAGAACAAACCTTAGGAAATGATCCATTCCGGACTCATAGCATTCTTTAACATTACTCTCTTCGGCAAAAGCGGTTAGTGCTACAATAGGCGCAGAGTAACCCATTTCTCTAATTAATCTCGTACTTTGCAGTCCATCCAGATTTGGCATTTGAATATCCATAAAGATCAAGTTGAAGAACTTGCCCTCTTCCATACTTTGCTTTACCATGTCGTATGCCTCCTGGCCGTCCTTGGCAACAACTACATCGTATACGTCTTCAAGTTTAAGCATGCGAAGAACCACCTCTTGATTAACAAGATTGTCCTCGGCAACCAGAACTCGAATTTTCTTATCCCCTACTTTCTCCTTGGCAGCGCGATCGAGTGCGGCGAGTTGTGATTTCGCATTATCCTCGCTGGGTGGAGGTGTAGGGGATGATGTAAAAAATGGCTGTCGAAGTCCCACCAATCGAGGTTGGGTATCCATTGAATAGCCTGCACCGCTATTACCTTTTCCAGGGGATCCTACAGCAGCCGTGGCATCAATGGAACCCTGTGGAGTATGACGTTCAAGTTCTGATTGCGAAACCATGCTCGCGGGCCGAGAACCAATAACATCAGAACTAGATGTGCTTGGTGCTCGCTCCTTGACGAACTTCAATGGCAACTGTACATTGAATGTGGAACCTTCTCCAAGTGTACTAACGAGAGAGATAGAACCTCCCATAAGGCCTGCTAACTGGGAACAAATACTTAATCCCAACCCGGTTCCTCCATATTTTCTATTCAACCCCAGATCAGCCTGTACGAAAGGCTCGAAGACTCGCTCCTGTAGATGCTCGGGAATACCAGGTCCGGTATCCTCAACCTCTATTGAAAACCATAGAGTCCTAGCATTGTTTGGTGGTGGAGTTGCCGATCTCTCATTTAATTGGACACGAGCTCTTGGATCCATAGGGTTGATTACTAGTGCAGTACCAGCTTGCTTGGTATTCGAAGCTGTCCTTGAGATTTGGCCCGATGCATGCGTTGAAGTATGCCCTGAAGCATTTGATCCAGAGCCAGTGCGGGTTCTAACATTTCTCCTGTGGGAGCTCTGCTTCGATCCCATGGAATTTCGGCTAGTGACGCCATCAAATTGTTGATCCAATTCGCCCATACATCTAATTCTGACTTCTACTTTTCCTCCTGGTGGTGTGAATTTGAGACTGTTGCTGACTAGATTGATTATGATTTGGAGAATTCTGTGCTGATCACCCCACAGACACATGTCTTTCAATCTACCGATACCATTAGGTCCTAGTGCTGGTAGAGGCTTTCCGGTCGGTTTCTCTAGTTGAGTTCCATCTGTACTTTCAGTGCCCAAGAAGTGAACTCCAAAAGTAATACCCCCTTCGTCCACTTGCTTTCGGAATATGTTCTTGATCTGCTCCTTCACATCAGACAGCCGGAACTCTTTCTCTTCTAAATGCAGTTGCTGGCCAATCTGGTTCTTGCTGAAAGTCAAAAGATCATTCAATAAGTTCAACAAAAGGTCGCCAGATTTGTAAACCGTCTTTAATGAGCGTTTAATGCTTGGCAAATCATCCTCGCCCATGCATACAGCACACATTCCCAGAATCCCGTTCAATGGAGTTTTCAATTCATGCGATATGTTTGCAATGAATAACGTTTTGCTCTCATTTGCCGCCTCCGCTGCCTTTTTAGAATGTTCAAGTTGTTCCGTACGTTCGGCAACTTTGGATTCGAGACTCGTGTATTGCAGCAGCAATTCGTCGCTCATTTCATTGAATTTCGAAGTTAAATCCGTGAGTTCGTCTTCAATCCAATGTCTTCGATCAGGTACCCTTCCAGGAATTTTAAAATCTCTTCGTTTATCGGCCTCTGATTTTTCTGCTCTTGACACACGACGCCCCGAATGTGTCAATTTTCTCAGTCGGACCAAAAATCCCGTTTTCTTGTACCCGCTTGAATCGCCCTCGCCAACCTCTTCATCGCCATATAATTCATCGTCTATACTTTGACGCGGAGTGTAACCCGGTGGCTGAATGGATTGCTTCGTGGCATCTCTCAGTCTTCTGATCGGTCGAACACTGTAATGAGCCATCGGTATAACCTTGTCGTTGTTAGCAATTTTGAGTGAACAAAGTACATCTGTTTCGCCAAGAAAGACACAAATCAAGAGGCATTGAATGTGTGCCCAATAATCCGAACCAACAGACTAGATGCAAGCTTTGCAGTTCCGATTGAATCCAACATCTAAAAGAATACCAAAACGCAATTGAAATCAAGACTGAACAGCCTTTCGATACCGGGCTGAAGTCCGGACTGTCTATGGGAAACCACAGCGAGAGAAGAAAAATTATAAAGAACTTACCACAAGAAGGATCAACCCAAATGTACCAAAAACGCATGCAAGTAAGATATTCCTAAGCTTGATAATGGGTTCCCAAGCTTCAGAATGAGCTTGTTCTACTATCAAAAGCCAATCAACCAGTGCACTTTGTGGTCTTGCCCAGCCTACCGACACCTTTACTCCTTGCTCGTTTGTGGTTGTGATATAGCTACTGGCATTATTGACTTTCGGATTCTGCTGTCCGAACCCGTGAAGAACGGCCGGATATTGACCTTCGCTAAAATTCGAGCTTCCATATTGAGTTAAATTTGCATTGTAGGCGGAATGTCTATCAGATTGTCCTTCAAGAGAATATGGGGGGAAAACGTATTTGACACTTGCTTTTGTCAAATTATGAAGGTCGGGTTTGTAAGTTGCTGTCGCCGGTCTCGACATGTACGAGAACTGGTTCTCTCGTCGATTGGTTCCCACGACCAAAACTATTCCTGTATTATCCAAGCCTTCCCGAGAATAAATAACATCAATTAGCGAAGTCGCAGCTGCTACCACAGTCATATAACCTAGAACGTAATCGGGATTCGAATTCTCGACAATCGGTAAGGTCAGTGATACTAAAGCATAGGTGCTATTGATCTGTAACGGCCCGAGGAGAAGAGCAGCACTTTTATTCAGTGGGTAATCGGCAAATGCGTATACCTGTGTAAGATTCGTTCCTGGAGCATTTGGGTCGGGATCTGTGGTTGGGACATAAGAGATATTGGGATACAAAGCCCCTGGATATCCCTGATCAGCATCGCCTAGGAAAGCGGGCTGATTTAATGAGTTATTGTAGGGAAGTTGTATATCTGCAACACCTCCAAGCGATTAGTATGAGTTATATCTGTGAGAGAAGATGACCTACCGGATGCATTAGCTGTGACATTCAATATGCCATTGACCGAACCCGTCTGATTCCGCGAAAATATGATTACTTGAAGCAATGCAGATAGACCACCAGAAGCCAAAGCGCTTTGTACATCTTCTCTTGCTTCATTCCACTCGGGTACTCCACTGTAAAAGTCGCGAATGGCCTCCTGGATGAGGATCCTAGTGACAATGGTCGAACATGTGGCCTGGATTAGGAGTAGATCGGAAGCCACTGAAGCGGCTTTGAGTGATGCAGTAAGACTAAGTGCATTTTCTTTAACGTCGACTGTAAAACTATAATTGTTGAACCAAGTAGCGAGAGCAAGCACAATCAATGGAACAAGAGCAGCCACCAGGACAACCAGGCCAAGTTGCAGCCTGATACCAATCCTCATCTCCAGACCGTTATGCGTTTGGTCGTCGACGATGGGTCAGGGAAACTGCCTTGTTAATTTACGCCAAATCCGGCCTCGCAATGGAATGATTGGCTTCACTCCCAAACAATTCCCTCGATAGTATGTATAGTTTTCGACTTGTACAATTTCAATGTGATTTCTTTGCGATGTTTCGAATTCATCAGGAGTATTGTATGGACCAAGGAAGTTGTCGAATTATTTTCCGAAGGTTGCCGCGCAAGCCTAGTAGCTTGAGCTCTTCCTTCAAGAACTCCAAGAACTGGTCCACCCCGCGTTGGTGTTCAAGTTGTTAATATTTTGGTCAATGTATGCGTCGCATATTCAAGACATATGCATCAATATGTAAAGGATCGATTTTGCAGAGAATTCGAAAAGGAAAGGTGGTGGTCGATTGATGGTAAGGTTTACAAAAGATGGTTGTGGTGGTGGTGAGCGATTACCAAAACGCTATCACGAAAGAAAAGATGTGGTGAGAAGTGAGAAGTCAGACGTGAGAAGTGTGGATTGGAGATTGGAGATTGGAGGATTAGAGAAAGAGAATTGCTTCTAGAGTTTGCAAGTGAACAACGGTGGACCAGGATTATTTATGATTTGGTACTCCCCGAACCCCACAAATAGGAAGACGAAAGTTAAATAAACGATTTAGATTCTCGAGACTCCAGATTGATGGGATTGTGATTATCTATTATGGAAATAGATGTGAATATGGACATAGACGTAAATATGGATGTGAATATGGATATAAACATAAATATAGATATAAACATAAATGTAAATATAAACAGCTTATAGAAGAGTTCTTGGTACACACTTTTGCGGATGAGCAATTCGATTTTAGACTGCTGTCCATTCATCAAGAAGGAGATGAATGTCATAAATAAAAGGATACATTACATGCATTATTTATTATATTATTACGTTATTTATGCACATTACATACCCACGGCTAAAATTCACAATTGTCAGTCTAGACTTACGAGGTATCAATATTTCAATCTAATGTATACTAGGGAGGGACGGGAGGATGGAATTGACAAGTATAAACGGTTGATTGTGGCACTGTCCGTCTTTTGTCTTGATAGGTAGCTAGGTAGTAGTAGACAGGCGAAACAAGTATCTAACACTTTAGTAACTGGGCATATCATCCAAAATATCAAGCGTTAAGACATGTGTAGAAATTACCATGACAAGGGGTATTAGCCATTCCAGGGTTGGCATAGACATAGACATGGACTTATTTCCTCCATCGGAATCGCTCCCCAGAAACCTAATCATCTATCGGGACGAGGACATTCATAAAATTCCACAGTGTTTGAAGCTACATCGTACCACCAGTACATATCACTCTTTCGACAACACATCGTACCAACAATCTCGTATCTCTACCGAGCACAAGCACTGTACACACATACGCACACACACACACACAGACACACACATACACCACCACCCACCACACCATCAGCCACACCCTCCAAGCAAAAGAAAAAAAAACCCGCAATCCTAGTCCAACACCAGCGTGGTAAGTTGTACCGGAGCCTCAAGAACTCTCCTCATTGGTCCCACGATGAAAATCATCTCAATCAAAGACAAAAACGGTTCTTTCATCCGCGACTATGCCATATTGGGTCACACCTCCATCAACTAATCAACTGATATATGGAAAAAAGCATCCAGATATCCAATCCACCCTCCTTGCTTACGGAGCGGAGGGAATACTTCTTCAAATCCGAATTGGTTTTCGCCTCCTTCCCCTGGGTCTTGTGAAGCACAAGATGTAGGTATATGTGTAATGCGTTTTGTGATTTTCGTATCGTATCTTGCACAACTAAGGTTAGGCAGGTACCAGTATATAGTTTTTAGCTGCGATGTAAAATCGGTACCTACCTAGTCAAAGGTCGGTAGTTATGTATCTACTGTATCAAAAATCCAGTTTCACATCACCAATCATGTGATGATCGATCTCAAAATAACAAGATCCCGAGACCGAGACCGAGATCATCCTAAGAGAGTGAACGGACCGAAGAGATACTTTCGTTTGTGAATCATGAATCATGGGGAGGGTCTCTAACCTTGCATACCTAGACAGATAGAATGAGTGCGTACCTAGGTAATTTCCAGACCCGAGGACAATGATTCTCTACCAGATGAGATGTCTAGAACATGGAACATGAAGTACTGTACAAAGTATAGAATAAATCAGATTTACATAGCAATATCATCAATTCGGAATATACATACACACATACATACATATCCAACGCATAGCTATACATACCCAAGTACACATAACAAAGCCCAGAAACCTATACAATCTACCCACCCAACCGAACCAATTCTCCTCCCTCGATATCACTCACCAAACAGAAAGCTTCAATTTCCAACCTCCAACCCCCAGCCAGCTAACCCGCTCAGTATGTTCACCAAAATCAAATAATTCCCACACAGTATCAGTATCCCATATCCCAAACCTTACCAATCTCGATTCTCAAGTCGAGGAAGGAACACCCAAGTACCTACCTATACCTAGATACAAAAAGCAATCATCTTGCAATGAATACATACATCAATACTGTATACCTAGATTTAGATAAACTACCTATATAATTAGATACACAATATATTGCATCTATGTATTAAATTTCATACACACAGATATCTATGCATCCTCATTTATTCATCCATGCCAGAATCAAAATCAGTAAACATCTCACTTGAGAATCAAGTCTGCCCTAGGAAAATCTTCATATATCCATCCATATAGATTGGATTTGCAAATGTATATACTAGATATATATGCACTAGATATGATGCTCAAATTACATTTGAAACCACCTAAATATATATTATTTATCTAGACACTGAATCTACATAGTATACAATATATGATGTACAGAAAGCTGAGAGCAGAAAACTGAAGGAAAAAAAAGAATATGTATATATATACTTATTCTATATCATCAAATGTTCATTTCTCTACGGATATATAATATGAAAATACAATACAATACAATACAATACAATACAATACAATACCATACCATACCATACCATACCATACCATACCATACCATACCATACCATACCATACCATACCATCCCATCCCATACCATACCATACCATCCCATCCCATATAAGAAACCCAACTTCATCTCATATTCATCTCAACCCCCAAAACTATTTATAAATACGCACGCACGCACACATAGCGAATCGAGGTTTTTGCATATTGGTGACATACTGATTTGATCACGAGTATGGAAAATTCATCAAGCGGATACCGTGGCAGCGAATGTCAAAAACTTGCGCTTCGATGATGCTAACGTGATATAGTGATTACATTGTGCTTTTGTGAGTAGTGGTGAAGAAATGTCTTGCGGGTTCCGGGTTCCGGGTTCTGGGGTGTACTCTTTCCTTGAAAAAAGGGGGGGATGGTAATTCTAATTCTACAATGAGTGATGATTTCCCTACGATTTTATTTTCAGATGGGAAAGGAGAAATCACGAGGTAGGATATGTAGATAATTTTGAGCCCCTCAAGACATATAACTTTCCACCTCCAAAATCCCACATCTCGCTTCCAAACTCCTCCTCACAACCCATGATCCACAATCTGCATCTCAACCCCCCTCTCCACCACCCCCGGCCCCGCCATCTCCATCTCAAACTCCAGATCCGGTTGCATCTCCGCATACAACGCATTCTTCTCACTCGCCATCTTGAAATTATACGCCGCCTCCTCATCCTCAATCACATACACTCCCTTCTTCAGCTCTCCATTCGCATCGCGAGTTCCTCCCACCGCCGCTTCGACTTTCAATTGGATGTCGCAGCCGCGATCTAAGAGCGCGAACAGGAATCCTGCTTCATCGACCGTGGATCCGGTGCTTAATAAGCCGTGGTTGAGGAGAATGGCTACTTTGTTGTGGGGACCGAGGGCACGCGCAATGTTGGCGCCTTCTTCAGAGGCAAAGACGATGCCACCGTAGGAGGCGTAGACGGCGATGCTGTTGTGGAGGTTGCAGATGTCTTGGTTGAGCATATCGAGGGGTCGACCGAAGACGGACCTTGGTATTGTTAAGACTTGTATTTGGGAAAGTTCTGCACAAAAGACTTACCATGCTCGACCAGCATTCGTATGTGCATGACAGATAGCATGGACGTCAGGACGCGCTTTATGAATTGCAGAATGGATCAAAAATCCAGCGGCATTTGCAGGACGAGACTATGATTGAGTTAATGACAAAATCTCTCCATGTTTGTATCCACAATTTGCAAATGGGAATTCGTACTCGATTTCCTCCTACAACTTTTCCACTGTCTAGATCTAAACACATCATATCACCAGCAGTCATCAGACCGAAATGTCGACCGAGGGGGTTCATCCAGATGTAGTTCTCAAATTCTGGGTCTCGGACGGAAATATGTCCTGCCATTCCTTCGGTGAAACCGCGACGAGAAAAGTCTCGGAAGACGGCCGCCATGTGGATGAGGATGTGACGACGGTGAGCAGCATGGCTGGGAAAGGTTGGAATGCCTTGGAATGTTGTTAATGAATGAGCGAGTGAAGTTGAAGAAGAAAAACAGAGTAGAGCTTTTGTAAGCGAAGATGGATATGCATGATTATCTTCGTATATTCCGCATACTCAAGCTCAGACAGAAATCAACCATCCAACATAATACTTCCATCTCGCACTTGCAAAACAGGATCACGCAGTAACGCCCATACCTTCTACCCCCTTCATCATCTAGCTTCACAGTCCTCCAAACTCATCTCAACAATACAAGACACTCGACTTCCACACCCACTGCTCCCCCGCTCCATCAAAATCCCAACACATAAACAAATCAACATATCTCACCAGACATAACCACACCCCCATGACTAATCGCTTCCAAAGGGGTTAAATCCTCTCCACCATGAACATGTTCGACTTTCTCATCCTTTACGATTGAGGCATCCTCCCCTGTTTTCTTCTGAACAGGAACATGTGATTCAGTCGCTGAAGGTGCCATAATTCCCAGCCTATGATTCTCGATTCTATCTTATCAGGAGATAATCTCAAGATGGCGTATAAAACAGGTGATCAATCCTCGTAGTAGAGAAGCAGATGTAGCACTCTTCAAACCTCAATCTCAACTTCAGATTTCAGATTGCGAATATCAAGCCGATTGCGGAGTTTCTAGATGTGTCAATATATACTCTTCCACACACACCAGCCAATTCGAGCATACAATAGAGGTACAGTAAATACCACACAAATGTGGATTTAGATAGCGAATTGATGGATCGACCTGTTCGAATAGATTACCTAAAGGATACTATCTCAGCTATCGACGTGTATGGCGATAGTGGGATGGCTTGAGATAAGACGACGATAGTAATGGTATTGAATCTTAAGCCTTGATAAGAATCACGTATGCAATCGAAGTTGAATGTGATTGATTGAGAAGATAAAATAGTGCTTCCGTAGTTATCCCAAGACGCGATGCTTAGATATCGCTCGTTTGATAGAGGTGGATGTGAGACAATTGTGGACTCGGTGGGGTTGCTAATTGCGGGGTAAAAGTGGTGAAGTGTGAGAGGAGGTGTTGATATGAGAATGGGGTGAAACTTCTTTGTTTGTTTCTTGTTAAGAATGATTTTATTATATTCTAATGTGAAATACTCGCTGAATACCCATTATTTATATTCTGACTGGTCCACACCCATTCAAATACACTCTTCTAAATGGCCTCGAGAACTTTCAGCACCCCACCTCGCATCATGAAGAGAATGGAAATAATTTCCATATTCCACATTACACATAGCTAGAATCAAAGTCACTCACTCGAACACAGTCAAATTTTTGAGGTATCGGTATTGAATTAAACAAAGTCGCCAATATCTAATCCCCTCTAATCCTCAACCGTTGCGCCCCTTTCCTATGCCCATACCACAACGCCTTAGTCTTCTATCAACACTACCTAACACCCAACCAAAACGCCCACATCTCCCATCAACATCACCTATCACCCAGCCGAGAGACCCCAACGCCCCTATTTTCAACCATAACGCCTATCCCTTTACCCTCAAGTGAAAATCCCATAACCCCCCTACCCCAAATTAAGTATTGTACATCAAATATCATACATCAAACAACGATAGAACCTACGAGATAATACTCGCTTCCCTCACTCCCCGTCCCCGAGAGAATCCTGTCGCTGTCCAGCCTACAAGTGATACCCTAACGCCTCCTCACCACGCCCCCGACTTACCCCTCTCTAATCTGTAGTTGCTACCGAGTATTGTAACCGAGTATGATGAGTAACATACAGAAATATCACCACCAACACTCAATACTCTTGAGACATGTACAGATCCCAATCTTTACCCCTGCAAGTACCTTATTCAAATGATACCGAATTCCGGGGACTAGTCAATTGGACGAGAGAGTGCGATTTGCCCGAGCATATCGAAACACTGCTCTTCGGATACCACTCCCTAACCCCTCTGCCGAAACGCCATTGATAAAGCAGTCGATAACGATGTTGAATGTGTCGTTGATGCCGTCGAGAATTCCGTCGAGAACACCACCACGGACGTATTTCCACAAGTCATCGGCTTACCTCTCTCAACCCATTGCCCTGCGAGGATCAGATATTGCAAAATCCGTGTCAACCATGAAACTCGTATTATGAAGACGAGCCCATATGAGAGAGTGCGACATGTAGCTACAATCCATATAGCCCGTAAGAGACCCCTGTATAGAAACTCCACCAAAAACGCCTTTCCACAAACCGCCAGACAGAAAAACACCAGAACCCATACCAAAACGCCCTTCCCTCCCAAATCCGACTTACCTCTCTCTAACCCGCGAGTTGCAGATCCCAACCCATTACCCCTGCAAGCATCATGCATGACATATTAACATGTCAGTTACGATGCCCGTATTCCGGGGATTAGTTGATCAGACGAGAGAGTGCGGAGTGTTGATTTCACTTGAACGCCTACACTCAAACCCCCAGTAGCCACCCCTAAAATTAGCATTTCACATTCCCAAATACTTCATGTCAAAACACAAAGCTTTTTTTAAATGGTTTTTATTTATGAACATCCCCTTTTTTTGTGATTTTCTTCATCTGTTTTCCACTTGTTTTTGGTATGAGTCCCCCTGAAACGATTGCTCATGCATACTTTTTATGTTTTTTTCCCCGGCTTTGTTGATTTTTTTCGATTTTTTCCTTTTCGATCCCCATAGACGTACTTTCTTTTCCTCTCGGTGTTGATGGTTTTTATAGTTGAGTTTTCATCGTTTTCCCCCATTTTTTCCCATTTTCAGTCCCATGATGGACGTACTTTCTTCCCATTAATAATTATATTTCGAACCGCAACGCCCCCAATACTCAAGCCCCGTGGCGAGTATCCCCCAAACTCCAATGGCATTTCTCAAATTGATCTGATCGTGTCGTAAAACACTCGCATCGATTTGTCTCGATACTCGCGGACCACTCCAAAGATCTGAACATATAGCACCACGGATTCCATAATCCGTCGCTAATTATCATCCGATCTTTGACGAGAGAAACTGCAACCCAAAACCCAAGTCCCCGTTTGAACTTTTGTATACCACAAATCACTGCCGTATCGCTGTTATTACTTGCGAGAAACGGCGGGATACCCGGAACTCCCCCCCTCCCCCCCCAAATCCAAAAAAAGCCGAGATTAATTATCCTCCCATGATTAGATTATAATAATAACGTATGTATCTTTGATCCTTTTCCCAAAACTCCAGTAAAAATTTCAAACCCCCAGACTCCTTACCCTTGTCTCAACCATGACGATTAAAGACAGCCCTCCCGCAATGTAAACATTATTACGAGAAGGTTAGGAAGGTAGTACTTACAAGGCCATGGCGACGGCAGCGACGGCAGCGAGAGCTACAGCGGCGCTGGCACCGTTGGCAGAAGCAGCACCTTGAAAGGTGACTGGGCCGCTAGTAGTGGAGCCATTAGATGAGGTTGTACCTGATCCAGCGGAGCCGGCAGAGCCAGTTTGACCAGCTCCGGCTTGACCAGTTCCAGTTTGACCTGGTTGACCAGCTTGACCTGCCTGACCAGCTTGACCAGATTGACCTGCCTGACCAGATTGACCAGCTTCACCGGCTTGACCAGATTGACCAGCTTGACCAGATTGACCTGCCTGACCAGCTTGACCAGCTTCACCGGCTTGACCGGCTTGACCAGCTTCACCGGCTTGACCGGCTTGACCAGATTGACCGGCTTGAGTCTGACCAGCTTGACCAGCCGTAGCAACGACGGTTCCATTGGAGACACGAGCTGAGGTAAGTACAACAGCTGGGACAGTAGCAGCAGTGGTAGTTCCGTTCTTGAAGATAGGAACACCAACGGAGACGACACCTGGAACTATAGAGGAAGCAGGTCCTGTTGTGATTTTGGCAATAGTGGTTTTGACAGTTGAAGAAACAGGGACCATTGTGGTCTTGGCAGTTGAGGACACAGGGACTGCTGTGGTCTTGACAGTTGAGGAAGCGGGCCAGTTGTGAATCTAACAGATGTGGTCGCGATAGAGGAAGCGTGACCTGTTGTCTTGGAGATGACTGGCCCAACTGGAGTCACAGTAGGTGGTGTGTCGACCTTGTTGATGATGGTGCAGCCAGTTGGGCAAGCACTAATGGTGACCCACCCTGGTTGTGTTACAGTAACCACGGAGTTCTGGTGAGTGATGGTGGTAGGTGCGGTCAAGTAGGTGGCGTACGCGTTAACAACTTGAGTAATGTATGAAGCATTACCTTGGTTAACGAGGACGTTACCACCGTTGTTGGTGTTGCCTGATCAGGTTAGATTATTCACCGTTTGATAGACCCTTTTGGGGAAACTTCAAGAAATGACGACATACCTTGAAGGATAGCAATGTTGCTATCAGCGCCTGCAGCAGCACCGGCGCCGTTACCGTGAGCACCTGCGGCACCTTGAGCTACGATGTTACCTTGTCCACTGACTTGACCATTAACTTGGCCATTCTGTGAGTTTTGTGCGGTAGCAACTCCGCAGAATGCGAGAATAGCAGCTGCCTGGGTTAAGTTGAGCTTCATCGTGACCAAGTGTTTCTTGTGGAGGGAAGTAGGTGTTGTGAAGAGAAGGAGGTGTTGTGAATTAGAAACGATTGACTGCCCGAATAAGCAAAAAGATTTCAACTTTTTGAAGGGGGAATCGATATTTAAGCAAATTCATCATACCATGGAGTTTAGCCTTTCGAGCCAACGTCATAGTGATGATACCATATTCCAACAATGGTGGCATGAACAGCTACAGATACTATTGATAAGAATTACTAGTAGCTCATGGACTATGCGCCAGGGAATGTTAGCTATTGAAACTTGGAAGCTCGACCAAAGTGCAGCCATACTAGAGCAGATCAAAGACGTAAGAGATCAAGTGAGAATGTAATTGGTCATGATCGTGCAACGATCAGGGGTTGGTCTGGAGAAATCTAGGAAGTGACGTCCACTCGGGTCAAACTTGCAGTAGTCCATCGGGAGTTGTCAAAGTCGATCGCTCCAAATCATCAATCAATCTAGTTTCTTGACATTCGTAATGGTTGTATTGGCCAATGGTATCAAGCGGGATCTAGTTGACCTTGGATGTCAACACTTTAGAATGTGGGAAGAGTCATCGAGGAAGATCAAGGTAAAGCTAAGTAGGAGCATTAAGTGCTTAGGGGTGAAAACTCTTCAAAGAAATCCACTTGGCTCTTGAAGCCAATTCTAACAATCAAACGACATGGGTAAGTGGAGTTTCATTAGTGATTGCCATTCACCAACAATCGGAAACTGGCATGCCATTTGATGAATGCCATGCAAGGTTATAGTTCCATTCCAACACCGCGGATTCTGTCTTAGAAGCTTCATCTTCAATTCAAATTTTGGTTATAGAAAACATTCTTCCCTCTATGAAGTTGTTCTATTTGTCAATATAGATATCTGGTCTAACTCCAGGAAGAGCAAATGGTTGATGATGGGTAATGAACTGTGAGATGAAAACACGATCCCCAAAGATATCGGAGTCATGTCCGGCGTATATTCGAGGGTATTCAAGAATATGATAGATCCCAAGTTTAGACCGACATCATCGGAAACTCACCGGATGCATCTTCAACAATTGGCATCTTTGAATTAGCTCGTTCAAAAAACAAAGAGGTTGGGGAGAAGTTGAAGATATTCCCGACAAGGTTGATTTAGGACGAAATGTTTCTTAGCGTCCTCGGTAGTTCATGGGACTTGAGTTATTAACCGCCTAAAGTTTCCTTCCTGACTTAGCCATCGGAAATAGGAAATAGATGAGGTTAGCATCAGTTCAAGAGATTCTTATTCCTGATGAAAGTATATGAAGTATATAAAGTATATAAAGTATATAAAGTATATAAAGTATATAAAGTATATAAAGTATATAAAGTATACAAAGTATATAAAGTATACAAAGTGTATACATATTGATGTAAATATTGATAAACCTTACTGACGTAGAGCTTAGAGAAGAGAGTGAACTAGCAAGCCCCTCACGAGTGATGGATACTGCCGACACAGCAATAACCTTGGAAGATGTTTTGAATTCTCCATTCAAACGTAATTGACTATAGCCAGTACTAGTATTGTCTCGACATCCACGATCATGATAACGGTATCAGAACCAGCTGGTCACCATGACTTAGAGTTTGCTCGCGGGGTTTAGTGCGAAGATCCCCAGAGACTAGGAGGATGTCTGTGGGTTTGTTCAACGCATTAAACTTTGCTCTTGCAACGGTTTCCTTTGGGGGAAAACTTGAATTGTTAGTCGTTCAAATTCTTGGCTTACATAGGTAGTACTCATCAAAATTCATGACACACTCCCGTATACTAATGTTTTCGATTGGCTCAGCGAGGAACGTCATGGAAATCATATGTATCAAGACTTGGATCATTCCGGAGATTTCGCTTCCTGTAAAGTTCAACGGGGGACCGGCAAAATTACATGCTACTAGGTACTTACTACCAAGTACCCAGGCAGGAAGGGATTTGAACTTTGATTCCGTGTCTTCCGTAAGGGAAATGTGTCTGAGAAAAACACCGAATTTGAACAACTTCAAAGTTTCGATTTTGGAAGGAAAATAGAAAAGCCATTGCATTTAATCAAGGTCATCAATACCAATAGCCATAGGACTTGTTATGGAAAACACCGTCCCCATTATCAAATGCCAATGGCTCATCAGGGTAAATCTCCCTGTTAAATATCAATGGGTTTTATGAAGGAAAACAGCGTCACCTTTACCAATGACTGCTCATCGAGGGAAAATACATTCATCACGAAAGGGAAAAAGGAGAAGAAGATAAAAAGATCAAATCCGTATTAGAACAATTTTAGAAGATAGCCAAGAATTGTAAATGTACCTAAACTCCATCCCTATTTCTAGATACAGTTCACCGGGTCCGGGATTCTTTTGTGTTAACCAGTGTATTCTCATCATGACCTGAAATGAAAAAAAGTGAAGCCTCAAGATATCGTACAAACAAACGCCTAATTGGATGCAATCATGTACTTCGATGTACTTTCAAATATCATATCGTATCATCTGTAATTGTCCTCCGGCGCCGAGAATAGACCAACTCTAGTTCGGTGGCTCTGAAAAAGACATATCAATATAATATTCCAACATCCAACATCCAATATCTCAAATATGAAATATCAAGTGGAAATTTTGGTTGAGAGAAACTTACGTAAGGCAATTTTGGTATCACAACTCCGAGAACGGCGAGAAAGTTGATGATAAAGTAAGTGAGGTCGTAATGAGTGTAATGAGTACTAATTAGGAACAAAACGATTGGGACACTCATGAGAAATTTCTTTGCAGGCGTGTATTGAGCTCCATTATCAATTTGTTCCCACATGTTCAAATTGTCGTAGGCTCCAGCGTTGAACTCAAATGGTACACCACGGACCCAATGAAACATCAGAAACGAACCAAACATATATGATATATTTGTTAATGTCCAAGATGTCTCTTGGGAAACACCAGGGATTATATCAAAAAGAATCTTGAGGCATGCGATTAGAACCAGATGTATTGTCCAGGCACCTATTGAATGAAGTAATTAGCATTGGGAACTCAATATACTTCATATCCCACGTGGAAATCATGTCAAAAGATATGCTCCAATTGCTACCTCGCACACAACCGAATCCAGGAATTTCTGACCTTTTGCGTTCACCCAGTTGGCATTAAGATTGGGTAATGCCGCTTGATCACTCATATGCTCAATTGTCTCCGGTGGCTCCTGATATAGCAAACTGCTCGACCGCCTCCTTCGTCCAACCTTTTGCTCACTCATTGTTCGATATGGACCACTGGGACGAGGTGGATTTGAACTCGCGTCGTAAGAGACTGTGCGAGGGAGGAGGAGTGGGGAAGACAGCTTGGCGGTGGTTGCGGAAGGAATTTTGAAGGTTAAGAAACGCCTCCGAGAGAGCGTCTTGTCGTAATGTTAAGATGTATATTCGAATTTGGAGAAGGGATATGAAAGATGTGATGGCGGCTGTCGAAGGCTTCTAGCTATAATTACAACGTCAGCGATGAGCTCATTGGATGTTTCATGTAATTTAGTGCAGTAAGCAACGTGAGAAATGCGGATCTCCGAAAGAATTGAGGTAACGACTCAGGTGTGCATGAATTTGGAGAAAGTTTAGGGGCTTACTTCTGAGAACCTGATTGCGAGGCAGTTCAAATATTGATGAAACGAGAGACTGTAGATAGAAGAATACGAAAACGGTTGAGATTCGATTCGAATTGAATTTGCCAATAATCGGAAGGTCTAAACAGAACTTTAAAGAGAAGCTGGAGCTTGTGAAAGTGTAGGGGACCTAGTGCTTGAGGCGGGAGGCGTAACGAGGGAGGAGAAAGGAGAAATGAAGATGGAAAACGAATCAACAGAGACGACGGCTTAAGTTGCTGTATAGAATGGAAGATGTAGAGATATGTGGTGGATGATGAGAATGGGGGGGCGAATGGGAGGGGGGGGGAGTTCTGGTGATATTCTTGTATGGTGTTGTTGTTCTGTTTTTAGTCGTATTTCGGACTTGGTGTTCTTGGGGAGATGGGGATGGGGTTAATGCTCGGGAGTCTGATCGGACTAAGTTTTCCGTTTTGGTAGCTAGATGAAGGCAATATAAGGGTAGCCAGATAGATACCTAGGTAGGTTCGGTATTCAAAGTAGATTTTGCTCGAGCGGGATGTTTCTTTATTAATCTTTGCCTGTGTATAGGTAATGGTAATATAAGATAATATAAGATAATATAATATAATATAATATAAATCATAAGGCCAAAAATAAAATTCGATACAAGGCAAAAATGAATCGAGAATCTCTTTGGAATGTTCTTTTAAAAAGGAGCCAATGACAAGGGTCAATCTTCAAGGATAATTTCCATTTACGGTTAGTTTCACCGAAATGAACAATATATCGTCCATTCGACCAATCAAACCTCCTCCCCGAGACGGATAATAATTTCCAGAAATAATTATTTTCGTGATATCAGAAACTCTCATTATTAAATTTTGAGACAACATCTATTTACACAGTACCGACAGAGTGAGGTACCAAGCATCGCATTTTGGCGACGATACTATACAACCAATAATTCAACGATACATGAAGACTTTGAGGACATAATCTTTCTTTCGATTATATGAAAAGCATTCCAATCTTCAAGAATTCTCTTGGTTATTTGAATCTGTTCTTTATGTTCGACAAAGATAATTGAACATCTCAGCAGCAGCTTTCACTAATTCTTCTAGGACCCCGCTCGCACAAAAATACAACCTCTCGCCTTTTACCCATAGCCATAGCCATACCTATACCTATACCTATACCCACACGCACTCGCACATTCGAATCAACGTGTGGATGTCGCATCTTCTCGCTTTGGGTTTGTTTTGTTTTTGATCTACCAGGGGAGCATCATCAAACATGGATTCACCAGCAGAAGATGTAGCTGATTCGCGATCGAATGTGGTTGGAAGAAAACGTGCTTTACAAACATCCTCGGATCAAGGTAGAGAAGTTGTCACAATTGATTCTTCTTCAGATGAATCTGCAAGTCAACCTCGAAAGAGGGCAAAGCCATCTTCCAACGAATCTGCCAAAGTTGAGGTCGATCTCACATCTTCGCCATTGCCAAAGGAATCGATAGACACTCTTACGTCTGAAGCAAAAGTTGGATCACCGGCAACCTGGAATCAAGGCGTACAGAGTGGACTGCGAACATCTTTCAAGAGCAAGAAACCACCGCCATCTCAAAGCACTTCCTCAAAGCAACCAGAACAAGCCTCAAATAATACCATTGAAAAATCTCAGGGTCGATCTGAGCAAAAGCCGATGAGCAAAAAACAATTTAACAAGCTAGGGGAGGATAAACAACTGGCTCTGATGGAAGCATATACTCAAGATGTTTCCGCTTTAATAGATCTCCATGGCTGGCCAGTGCCGGAAGAATTTCAACAGAGCTGCCTGAAGTTTATTGGAGAGGGGTTGACGTTTTACCCAACTCCAATGAAAAAGGATCAGCCTGTAGGACGCTATTCGTTCGGCGGCGGTGACGTTCAGCTGCAAGAGCTTTACAGTGAGGAAGGCAAGCCCATCGCGAGTAAGGATATCACCTATTCTGATGTCCTTCTTTCGCTCATGCAAAACAACGAATTCTTTGGGCGTGCGTTACCAGACAAACGTGCTAAGGCTGCTGTCAAAAGTTACTTGTCTTATTTTTACAACCACGTCCCACAAAAAGAACAATTTATATCTTCTGTGGTGGCAGAAGCTCCGTCTCCAATTGAGGTTCTCAAGAATGCTAAAAAGGGCCCACCAACTTTAGCCCGCGCGACGGATCATTATGATAAAAATGCTTCCCCAGCAATTATCAATGTCGGTTCCAACAAAGATGAAGCTCCCACAAAACAGAACAATGCCTCAACTTCCAAATTGATAGCAGAATCCAATGGCGATGAGGAGTCCACTCGGGCTGATCCCACCCTAATTACAAATGCCATCGATCCAACCAGAGATCGCACGACCCCCACTGAAGCCGGGACAGTTCAGATGGACCATGGTTCGTCGGGCTCAGTAGTCGGAAGTGAAATGGAGGTCTCGTCAGATGGTGGTATTGCTACAGATTTCGATGATGATCATGAGTTTGAGGCGGCACGCGAAATGGGTTTACGTACAAAAATTC